GGAGCCTGTGCACGCAGGAGTGTTTTTCCTGGTTTCAAGCTCAAACCACATTCGCACCTGAAATCCCAGGGGAGCCTGCCTGAGGCCAGCATCCCGCACAAAGCCAGGAGGGACAGTTTTGTCAGCTCTGCTCGGAAGGTGCTAATTCACCCATGTCCCCAAGGTGGCCTTTTGCCAGGAGCCGTGCCGGGCACATGGGGTGTGTTTTTCTTCTAAAGATGGGGCAAAAGTGCATGTTGTTTGCTTTACATATTATTTTTTTTCCCAGTTTGATAGAGCAATTGATGGTCTTGTTGAAAAAGGTCTTTAAAAGTCAGACAAGCATTTTCTTGAAATGCGAGGGGTCTGTGGCGTTCCTGTCAAAGCATGGCTCAAGCAAAGGGATGTGGCACATGGAGTTAACTTTGTGTTTCTTTAGAAAATAATAGTGTAAAAAAAAAATCCTGTATGAGTTTGGCAGCAGAACAAATGAACGCAAACAGGCAGAAAATGAGAAGGTTTGTACCCCTGAGAGGAACAACTCTGCCGGGGACAAGAAGAGGGTGGGGGGGCTGCAGGGGAGCCTGTGATGGGTTTGAGAATGTGGCCGTGTGACACAAGGATGGGGATACAAGGACATGTAAGGTAGCAGTTCATTTATTAATGATAATATTTTCATAATCAAATAGCCTGGTGAGAGCAGCAGCAAGTCCAGGTTTTCCCAACCATCATTAGTTCAGCAGCCTCGTTTGTTCTTTTTCCCCTGTGGTTTGTGGTGACCAAAGCACTTGAGGAAACTGTGGGCAAAACTCTCCCTTTAAAACTGTTGTATGAAAAAGGTCTTTTTTTTTTTTTTTTTTTTTAAATAATTTCCCACTCATTATTGATCCTCATTTTGTCCTGATTCATTTAGCCCAATTTAAATACCTGAAAATAAAAACCAAGCCCTCGGTCTTTTCAAACCATCCCCATTGAGCCCCACATCTCTGTTTCACTTCCATTTCAGAAGAGGCTTGGTTTTCCAAGGTCGTTGCCCCAAGACATTGGTAGATATTTTGATTTGAGAGGAAAAAAAAAAAAAAAAGGTCAAACTTTAATCAAATAAGTGCGAGTGGGAGTCAGTGAATGAGAAAAGAAGATGAAATTAGCACCAGCCCTGATCCTGCAGCCCTCCCACCCCAAAACTCCTCCTCAGTGGGGTAGGGTGGGACAGGGACCTGCTAATCAGCTGGAAAGGAGCTTTCCCAGAAAATCTCTAATGCAATCAGGTGCCAATACAATGCAAGGCGGGGGTGGCCGGGAACAACACCGCCCTTCCCAGAGATAATTGGGGTGGGGGCAGCTGTGCTGTCCTGCCTCGGCCCCACCAGGCCCAGCTGGTCCAAAAGGAGAAGGTGAGGGGCCAGGGCTAGGCTTAGGGTGCTGCAGGATTGCTTTAGTCCTCAAAAGATGGTCACTGTTTTACTTTCTGCTGAGTCCTTGCTTTGATCAGTGCTGCTGGGAGTGCTAGCCCATTTCACAGGTTTTAGGAACTGAGGCAGCACCAGGAAAAAAAAAAAAAAAGTCTTGTTGGGGAAGGACAGACCTCAGTGTCCACACTCCGAGCTCTGTGCCTTCTGATACTCTTTGGGGGTAAACTCTAGGATTATTTCCTTCCAAAAATATTTTGAGCTCTTATTAAAGAATCCTTTGAAAGAGAACCGATTATAGCTCTGAGCATCATTTCCTTGCTCAAGCGTGACCTAGAAGTTGTAAGTACTCACATTTGTTATCTGTACTTCGTTTCAACTTGAATAGTAATTCCTGCTTTTAATTTGATGCTGATTGATCGTGAAACTGCATGTAAGCCATATGGCACCCTGTTTGCAGTTTTACACCATCCCTATTTTCCAGCAGTTGTATCAAACAGTTTAATGTTGCTCCAGCCGTACTTAGGGGACAACCAAGGAGTGACATTTGTTTTGATTATCTCATTAATGCTTTATTCAATCAAGAGAAATCCCAGCGAATGCATAGCAGACCAATGTGTACAAACAAGACCTCCCAAACTCACACGAGGTCCAGCGGGCACACTGGGAGCAGACACATTTGGTAAGGTTTTACACACCTGCCTTCCAAAAAAAAACAAATGTTATTTTTTGTCATCAACTCTTACTGCAAGACAAAGCCTGCTTGCTGTGACTTGCCCTGTTCTGCTATTTTATTGAAAGCAGCGGGCACAGCAGGTGAGCAGGAAGGGTTTTGTGAGCTGTGCCCCATTGGGGTGCAGGGGGAGCCCCCCACTTTCTGCAGTGCTGCCCATTGCCCGAGCTGTACTTGCAGCCTGTGCTTTTGCAATGTTTTATCCAAGCTAGGCTTTAATCTAGAAGGATTAAAGGATGGATTAAATCTAGGATTTAATCTAGAAGGGAAGGATGTGCTTTGGCTGTGCTCAAAATCAGGAATTCCAAATTTCCTCAAAATCTGACAAAGGAGCGAGTCATTTCCCGCTGAGCAGATGGAAAGGACTGCTCCCATAGCTGTGGGATGTGTGTATTGGGGCACTTCTGAACTAACGTGTGCCCTTTTTTCTCCTGGTGTGCCTGTGTGTGTGAGCCGCAGATGCTTATTATGCATGGCCCAGATTATTCAAGTTTAAAACAGAAAATAAAGCAGCAAGAGGCAGACAGATCATGACAAATATCAATATTAATTGTAATCTCATTCCTGGCAGTGTCTGGAGCCTTTTATGATAGCCAGGCATCTAAGAAAACCAATTCCTATATAAAAGATTAATTCCTTGAAGCTAAACTGCACATTCAAAATGAAAACCAGGTTAAGGGGAGAAATCTGTGCTGGATGCTTCGCTCAGGCTGGGGTCGAGGCATCTGAGTATGGTTTTAGTCTGAGGTTTTTCAAAGATGTTTTAGGGATGTAGTACGCAGTTCCATTCATTTTAGGGGCTGTTGATCACTCACATACCACACGTGGCATTTTCCTTTGGGGATAAATGCTGCTTGAGGTTGCTAACTGTGCAAAGATCATTTTGTTTCATAAAGAGCTGCAGAGAGATAAAGAGGAGCATTTATTGCATCCCAATAACTGGAACGTCAGTAGTTTACTCCAGTTAATATTCATTTTAAAAAAGTTAAACTTTCAAGAAAAAAACAAAAAACTGTCAGTTTCATATTTTTCCCATACTGCTTTGCCAAGGACAATGACGAACTCAGCAGTGAATTTGCTTTTGCTCACATAGAGCAAACAAATACAGAAGATTATTACAAGTGAAAGTGCACTGATCTGCTGCAAGTATTGGATAAAGCTGTCTTGTGCCACGCTGGGAAATTAATACTTATTGATTGTTTTATGCAGAAGAATAATTTCCTTTCTGATTGCAAACATAAAATGGAATACACATAAATTAAACATTTTGCACTATTTGTATACGCCTACAATTAAAAGAAAGTGAAAACACGAAGTTTCCAGAAGTGCCTCTGCAGTTGCCCTTTGCCTGCCTTCCAGTTGTGCAGCAGAGAAAGCCTTTACCCACAGGGCACAATGTTTTAGAGTCGTTCTGGGAGGTTTTAAACTCCAGAGCAGTCCCAAGGCAGTAACACCTTCTTAGATGGATGGCAATGCCCAGAGGAGCCGCAAGGGAGACCTGCAGGCACTGCTCAGCACACAGACCTCTGCCAACAGCTCTGTGGTACCTGCCACAAGCAGGTAAAAAAAAGCTTGTCATCTCTCACCACAAGCAGTTATGGGTTTTGCTGAAGGCTGCTCCTTGCTCCGTGCATGGGCAGCTATTTGCAGGGCCAGGAGAACGTCCTCTGGGGCGCAGCAGCATGGACAGTCTCACTCCCTCCCTCCCTCCCTCCCCCTGCTGTTTTCCTTGAGGATGAAGCAAAAGGGAATTCGGAGAATGTTTTTCCTTCCAACTCAGGAAATCTCAGGGGCTTCTTCTGTAGCGCTTCACACTGCCAGATGTGCCGTGCCGTGCTGGCAGCAGCTGGGGAGCAGCTGGGTGCCGCGCTGGGTCAGCGCCTGCCGCCCTCTGCCCCAAGCTGGGCTGCAGAGCCAAGGGAAAATGGCTTTGGGCAGCAACCTGGCCATGCCACCAGCCTTGCACCAAGACAAGGCTTTCATGTGCAGTCAGGAGTTTGTTGGCTGTCACCACACCTGCAGATTTCTCTCTGGGTGGCCCCGCAGGACAGCGGGTCCCATCCTGGTGCTGCAGGCGCATGGTGAATGGCACTGGGGAAAAGCAGGGGACAGCAGCTAAGGCAGCCCAGGGTGGGACAGAATGTCTGACACTGCCCTTGTAAGTCCTTTGTGGAAAAAAAATACAACTCCTCCTTTTTCTGGAACAAAATCCAGTACTTCTATATGAAATAGGGATTGATTTTAGGAATATCAAGGTTGACGTTCCCATATAAAAAGGCAGGGCAGTGTAAATCTTCAGTAATTAGTTTGAGCAACCCACATGAAAATCAGCAATATTTAACTCCTATATAGTTTTTTTGTTTTGTTTTGCCTTTGTTTTTGTTTTTGTCATACCAAAGAAGTACGGTAATATATTTTAATTATTTTTAAAGGAAAAATGGTTAAAAGAATTGATCAAAGTAGTGTTTTTTTTTTTTTTTTTTTTTTTTTTTTTTTTTTTTCTGGTAGGAGTGAAGAGCCTTTTGAGGTCTCTTAGGCGAGCTTCAAAAACACCTAAAAGTTGCATGATCGAAGCTTTGTTTTTAATTATTCATTTGTTTTCAATATCTGAAGGTCACACAACAGGCCGGGATGGGGAATACAGCTGTCATTAAAAATTTACTTACTTTTTGTACTCCAATTAAACTTACAGATAATAGCAGATAAAAACAACCATGCAATTGCTTTCCTGATGAAGGCACTGATTTATTGATACTGAACTTGGCTTCAGTGTAGTTACACCAGGGATGAATTTGCAAAGGTTTGCTTCCATTTTAGGAAGAAAAAAATTGACAGCTGTAAAAACAGCAGGATGTGATACTGTCCTTGATGAGCATTTTTCTTGGCAGCATGGTGTACACATCTTGCAAGACCATGACATGCCACACTCCCTCTGAAGACACGGTCAGCTAGGGCTAGCATGTTAAATTAGGGATTTCATCTCCTCCACTCCCTTTGCAGTCAATGAAAAAGGGAGAAGGGCTGGATCAGCAGAGGGGATGGCAGGAGCTGCCTTCAGAGTCCAAGCACGGGCCTTCTCCTGCATTTTCCATGATCTGGGAGTTTTAGGACAATAAAAACAAGGTCTTTCTGCAATCACCCCTCTCCAGTCTGCTAGATCTGCAGACTGGTGTTCCAAGAGATCAGCAGCATATCAGTAGGAGCAAAGTTATCCAAATGGTGAAGTGGTTTTGGAAACCCAGCCGTGTAACTTTGGCATTTAAGCAATATTTCCTTCTGCAAAAGGAAGGAGATGCTGCAGTGAATCGATACATCCTGTGGATATCTTGGGTGCATTGACTTATGGCCCAATAGTGCCTCCAACAACAGCAGAAGTAATCAGAATACAGAGCAATAATGCAACCTTTCGCTATATGGGAGCTAAGAAATGGGGTCCGGCCTCGTACACCAGCTTCTCCTGCTTCATACTTGAACTTTTATTCTTAAGGCTTTCTTCTTCGCCATCTCTTGTGGTATTTTTTGCTTAGTACTTCTCAAAATTACATTTAAGCTTATAATAATTTTACCATAAGATTTAATCCTGGTGTGTTTGGGTGTCTCCATAGCAATTACTCCCCCACCCTGCAGCTCCTGCTCTGCAAAAGAACTCATCACCTGTGAAGGGGGCAAAATTCAGAAACACCTGATAATTTGGTAAGTGATTCAGTACAAACCCTGTGTCTGTTTTGGTTAAGAATGTAAGGATTCATGAAAAAAAGCTGCTTAGATGTTGTCATAGGACATAACTATTTTTTCCCTTTATTTATTTATTTATTTATTTTCCCCTGAACAGAACTGTCTTGAATATCCCATAGGCTTTGGTGGGAATTTTAGAAATACTGTCAATATTTCTATTTCCACACACATGTACGTAGCATTTCTACATAAGGCAAAGGCAGAGTATGCCATTACTTGTTTTTTTTTCTTTGACAGCAGGTTCTCTGTCACTCTGCAGGCAAAATACCCTATGCAACATCTTACTACTGGAGGCCTGGAGACAGGGAGATTATGGTAGGTGCTAAGCAGATAATAATAAGGTCACAGGTTTGGTGAATTGTGTCACTCTTACCGACCTAAACTTTCATCCCCCTTTTCAGTGCTACTCAAATGTGCTCTTTAAAAGTTTTGAATTTCACCAAACATCACAGAAGTTATCTTCATGGTGCTTTCAGAAAGACTGATGGTAGAGGCTTGCTGTCATCACATCATCGTCTCGTTCAAGTGGCATAAGTTAAAGTTCTGGTTAGACCGAGGAAATGCTCATATGTATGGTTCTAAGGACAACCTCTTGCTATAAGCCTGTAAAATGAATAAGATGGATGAAGAGAGCTTAGGTTTGAACCAATCTTTGGGTCCTCCTCATGCCTTGAAGTCCGTCTGGCTGATATGGCTACGTGCAATGGGTAAGAACCTTGGGCCTAAGTTATGAAAACAGCTGCAGCACAGGATGGGTCTTAAATCTTCCCTGGATGTCCATATGTGTGTATGCATGCATCAACCAGCCGTGTCTTCCTGCTTGACATCCAGCTGTTTGCCCTGCTAGGCAAGGCTTAGTAAACTATTTCCAGCAAATCTGAGTGGAATTTGATGAATAGTTTCAGGCAAGGTATTTTTTGAGGTGAATTTTCCAAGGATTTAAACCTTCTGCTAATAAGCCTTTAATTAGGAAATTTTGCTTTGATATTAGTTATTTTCCAGCGCTGTCTGAAGCAGTGAGTAGAGTAATGGGTCATTTTGACTCTACATTTTAATATACTTCATATTTAGCAATGCCCAAGAAAAATGTCCTCATCGTAAATTGTCATTTAAAAAATACCAGGGTGCGTATTATTGTGGCCACAGTGAAAACCTTAAACCAGCAAAAATAAGGATGGTTTAAGAAACAGGAATGCTAATCAAAGAGGCGATCCATTTAATTTTTCCTTAAACTTTTGTATAACTTAACACACCTATTTTCCCAGGATGGAGAAGTGCTCAACTGTTCTTAATTTATACATGAACGAAAGAGGTTTAAGCATCCTCCTTGTGCAGTTAGAGTATTTCTCTGAGTTTTATGAAATTGTTATAGCTTCTAGACTGTATTATTTCTTTTCTTTCTACTGATAAATATTATAATACAGGGAATATTTAGGTATCCACAGAACATTTAACTTTCCATACAGATAGGATGCTAAGAACAGCATTCTTTGTGGATATTCACAAAAGCAGCCTGAGATCCACTTTTTTTTTTTTTTTCAGATAAAGAGAAAAACAACTTTGATCTTCTTCCACAGGATTATACAAGGTAAAAAGTTGAAAAAAATGCCTTCAAGGAGAGGACAATTATAAAGTAGGGCAGCCTAGAAGTACAAGTGTTAGAAGTTAATTGAATGGATACAATTACATTTACAAAACCTCCTTATCTTATTGCAATATTAACATTAGTGTAATTTTTCTCCCTTTCTGGGAGGCAATGTCACACTAAAGCTGATACCAGTGTGATTAGATAAATACTACTTTTACAAGTATGCCGCCTTAGTGGGTTGCATGTGTACATTTTTTAACGATTTTCTCCGTCCCCTTTAGAAAATATCCTTTTGCATTTTAGCTATCATGCAGTAAAAAAATATCCCATTCTGGGGAAAAAGAATTAGAAGTACTTGGAAAGTTGGAGTTTATCATAATAAGCAAATCTAACTGGTGAGTGTGGCTGGTGAGAGGGAAAAACTCCTGTAGAAAAATGGAAAAAGGGTTCAATTGGAAAAAAAAATCAGATGCACGTCTTGATTTCAATGAGTGTTTTGTAAATTCCCTACAATTCATGAGTGGTATCAGATTAAAAAATTTTAACTAAATCTTATTAAAATCAGATTTATTTTTTTTTTTTGACCATATTCCTTCCAACATGAATGGCTTTGCTCACAGAATAAGGCTTCCTGAGCTCAGCGGCAGCAGATCTTCAGTGTAGGAGACCCTCTCCCTAAGGCTGTGCCTGGGAGGATTGTCCAGACCCAAAGGGCTCGAGGCCACTCGTACCGACACGCAGGGGAATGCTAAAAAGTGGTCATTAATAAATCAAGGGGCAAAATTTCGTCTCCCAGTCCAGGCTCATGTGTTCCCTGCCCATGCCAACTCTGTTCTCACATGAAAGGGAGCAGGAATCTGGGAAGCTGATACCAAGTTTTTGTTCTGTTGTGGTTGTCTAGCTAACTGTTTCAACAGGAAGGTGTTTAATCAATGCGAGGCAAAAGGCAGAGAAACAAACTGGTGATTTCCAGAAGGAGAAAATGTCAGCCCTGATTAGAGGGTTTCTTTCTCAAGACAGAGTAGACAATACAAAGTGTGTGATAACACGCTCAAGATATGCCTAAGATCCCCAGCAGCAGCCCCATGAATGAATGGCACATTTCCTATCGTGGCTCCCGCGGTCCGAGGCTGATAAGAAATGTCCAGTGCAGCAAGAGCGCATTGCTGTGAGATCCTTGAACCTTCATCGTCTCTCGGGGAAGAGAGAAAAAAAGAAAGAAAAGAAAAAAAAAACAAAAACAAAAAACATATGAAAAGCAAGTAGAGGAAGCAGTTCCCATTTATTTTCAGATTGTAAATTTGCTGTTAGATTTGTCATATTAAGTAATTGTACTCTCCAGCTCATGTGAAGGTAGGAGGACAGGAAGAAAGAGGATATTTCCTTTAAGTTTTGATCCAGAGAAGCAAAATGTTTGCTCTCCCAGTGGGTACAATGTCTTTTTGTGCTTTACGATTTGATTGACATTGGCAAAAGGGGCATATTATGTACATACCACATGTAGCCCTTCATATCCTGCTCGATGTGTGAGCTGAAGTCGTTAATCTCACCCATTTCCTATGCTCAGCATGCTGTGCCAAGACGTTCAGAAATAACGAGGGATTTGGGATGCCTTAGCTATTGGGTGTCCAGCTAAAGAAACTTCTAAAGGTCTTGGTTTTCAGGAAGCTTTGAATAGCTGCTACTTTGAAAATTGGGCTTGTAAAATGGCTGTTGGCAAGTGATAGGACTCAGTTTTTGGAGGTCTCCATGAAGTGGGCATTTTCTCACTTGCAGGTTGGACTCAGTGAAGCATCACTGACATCTTCGGATGGATTTTGATCAAGTCATGCTGCCATGTGGGCATCAGGACTGGGCTACAACTGTTACCTGCTGTATTGGGCTGCTGTTGTTCTCCTAGGATTTGGACTTGGTTGGCACAAGCAAAGGTCAGTTTTTCTCCTTGGGATAAAGTACGTGATCTTTAAACGTCAAGCAAGGCAAAAAGAAGCACTTTGTTGAAGTGTCCCAACGCCATGCTCAGTAGGGTCAAAACTGAGGTATTCCAAAGCCATGCCCAACCTCCACGTTGAAAGTTTTAGTGAGAGGAGCAATCCCTCTGCTGTGTGCTAAATTTGAGAACATCAATTCAAGTCTAAAAGTCAAATTTGCTTTGCCCTAACTGGTATTCAGAACCTCCTGTTTTGAATACCCCATCTTATCCCATCCCATCCTATCTTACCCTATCTCTCTACCTCATCCCTACAGCACCACAGCAGCTTCTAGAAGCGCTGGCTGAATACATTTCCCAGATGAACTCTAAGGTCAAAATAGCAGAGAATAAACAATACGCAGAGCAGAACCAGCGTGTACCAGCTTGTCTTAGGGGTACAAAGCTGAATAATACCTGGGTAAACACTGCAAAAGCAGCTATTGACAAATTGGCCACTCAAGAACCCAGTGACCTCTGAAGTGCTGGAGCTCTGCCAAAGTCCAGCAGCAGCAAGGAATATGATGAGCTGCTGTGTTTGGGAGTGAAGACATGGGGAAAGATATAAATTACATCCTGGATGTTGCAATGTCCTGTAGCTAACACTTCTATTATCTACATTGTGCATATATAGCATATAGTTACACAGACTTAATCTGAGAAATAAATATGTCAGGGGAAATCTTGTTTTCATCCTTTTGCTTCCAAAGGTCCTTTCATTCTTTTAAAAATTGCACTAATAAAATCTGCTTTTCAGGATGTTTGCAGCCAGTTTGGCAGGTTCAGAAGATAATCCTTCACACCTTTTGGCTTTACATAAATCACTTTTTGTACAGAGACAAAACAGGCAGCCTGGACTGTTTTTATTCCTTTGAGGAACTCTGTGCAACACCTCCCAGCTATGTAAATGCTGTGGTCATCGTGCAAACACGTTTCTCAGTTGGGTAGGTGTCTAGCATATTTTCTTCAGTCTTGGGGACCGCAGGAATAGGGTTTGCCCATTCTGCATGATTTGAAGTAGCCAGCCTAGTAATCCTTTGCAAACCCTTTATAAGGCAGAGAAAGGTTGCTTGTTCATGCAAATAGCACCAGCAGGTTTGGCTTGCAGAGGTATGCAGCGTGCCTTAATGATCTCACGTAACATGGAGGCCTTGAACTTTCCCTTGCCATATTCTGTTTCCAGACTTTCCACTGCCCTCCTCCCCTGGAAGCTGTCTCACAGGTAGGGTTACCCATTACAGTCGGGGGTGCCCCTTACTCTCTGTCCTCGCAGGGCTCACGGGATGGTGCTGAGCTGTCGGCAGCAGTTGCTCCTGTGCACGTCCACTGTCTGCAAAGTGAGTTGGGCCTTGGGCCCCCTGGAGAGCCCAGAGCCATCTCCTGGTGGTGCTGGAGATGGGGAGCACTCTGAAATGTTAGAGGACACAGGGGTCTTACATGCATCTCTCAGGGAATAACGCCTGGTGGTTCTTCTTGTTCGTGCTTGCTTTTAAATCTTCACCTCCGCCTTTGGTGGGAAAAAGTAAGGTGCTTCTATATCCAGGACAGCAAATCATTGGGAAATCCTGGGAAGATGCACGGTGTGACGGTGGCAGTACTGGTTATGGATAAGGTCCTTGGTAGGGAGAAGTGTGCAAACGGGAGGAGGCTGTGCCTTGGTCCAGCTGAGGTTTCTGAAAGATGATTTCATGACCTCCCGTGTGCCAAGACCAGCCTAAAGAACAAGTCATGCTTATGCTTTATGCAGACCATATGCCACCGATTTTTTCTGCTGAAACACGGCCAAAATCTTTCACTGGTTGGATGGAGGCGTGTGGATAATGCGCATTAGCAATACCAATACCTCATGTTTAGAGTAAAAAATAGATATCTTTTAAAGCAACTGCTCTAAAGATTTATTAAACACCTGCTGTTACTTCCCGCTTGATCTTCGACTAGGGCCTGCTCTGAAGAGCAATCAATTCTGCTTTTAAACGCAATATCTGATATTTTAAAATACCTTAGCCCACCACCAAATGAAAAAATCTCTTCCCCTTAAAAGCTGGGTTGTTTGTTCTCCTGCTCCTGCCCGAGCACACGGCTGTTTCTTTCCATTCTCTCAACTCTGGCCAGCTGTGGTTCACTTTCTGGGCTGAAGTGAGGGGGCAGAGTGGTCCTGGGTGAGATGTTTGCAGTCGGTGGCTCGCAGACCTTCCCCAGAGGGCTCACACCGTGCTGTGAACACCGAGCCCCATTTACTTTGTCTTCAGATGCATTTGAGCCTTGCTTGGGAATGAGCAGTGCTGGGGGGCAGTGCCACATCTCCTCCTCAGCCTGACCCCGCACAGAGCTCAGCTCTGCAGGTTCACCCCGATGCCACAAGCACGTCTCCCTCCTGCCACCCTCCGTGTCCTGTGGAGCCCCGCGGCCTCTTCTGCGGCTTAGCCGTGGCCGCGTGGCTGCTAATCCCATCTCCTCGCCCCTCTGGGGGGGCTAAACTGTCTGACCTGCGACCCCCAGCTGGTCTGAGACCTCCATCAATCCTTCTGAAAAGTTTTACTGGAATCAGGGCTTCCAAATGACCCTTTGCATAGTTTCTAAAAAAAAAAAAAAAAAAAAAAAGGAAAGAAAGAAAGAAAAAACACCCAAGAAAAATCCAGCCCTGTGCTGTTTTCTGTTGTTTTAGCAGAAACCAAACATAACTCGTAAAAAACACAGGCAAGAAAAATAGAGCGCGCCGGCTGCCAGAAAAACAAACCGTAGCAGAACACGGAGGGGCCTCTCGCGGGGAGGAGGCAGGGAAGAAACACCTGCGATTTCCATCGAGGCTCCCCTGACACCCACGTTCCCCCCGCCCTGCTCCAGCCTGCTCTGGCTTCGGCCCCGGCGCCGGGTCTCGGTGCGAGGGGTCCCTCCTCATCCTCGTGGGCTGCTTGGACGCGGCCCCAAGCGCCGGCCCCGTGAATCACAGCAGCTGATGAGCACAGAGCGTGCCTGCCAATTGTCCTCATGTCATTGCTATGGTTATCTTAAAAGTGCTCTGCAGATGTTTGCCTGCTTGGAGAAAAAAAAAAAAAAAAAGAAAGAAAAAAGGAAGATGAAAACAAAGCTTTAAATTTTTTCTCCGCAACTGTTATACCGCAAGTATGAAGAAGCTTGGATGGAGGTGGGGCTGTTGGTGCTGGTGGGGTTTGGGGCCCTGGTGGTCCCTGGAGGCTCTGGTGGGGTTAAGATGCCAGGTGGCCCTGTTGTGCCACGGGACATGCTGGGTGCACCCTGCGATGGGCGAGCAGGCAGTGGGGATGGCTGCAGGCACCCAGGACATGTGTATGGTGCTTGGACGGGCTCACTGGTGCTCCAACCCTTCCCTGAGCAGAGAAATATCCATGGGGGCTGTGCTCAGCCATGAGGCATCAATTCTGCTAGCAGAAATGTGTTTCTGCGTGTGATTTCCCAAAGCTCCTGGATCACAACGCACAGGGCCAGTGGGGCTTGGAGAGGGGACCTGAGACTCAACGTGGACCTGAGCGTGGAGCTGAAACATTTGTCTCGGTGGTTTTACGGCTTTGTCAGGCTTGGTGTTTATAGGAGGCGGGAAGATAAATGATGCGAGAGGTGAGTGCTGAGGGTGTAATTCAGCGGCCGTATCAAGCAGGCCCTCCAGGAACAACTTCTCCTTTCAGCCGCTGCACCGCTTCTGCCAGCAGGATGAATGCACTGCCAGGGCTCATCCAAATGCCCTGCAGGGATGTTACGGGAGTGTCCAGCACGAGCCCGCTGGAATCAACAGCAGATTTTTTCCATCCATTTATGCAAACCCTGACCACGTTAGAAACAAGCGTGCACGTCCTCAGCGGCAGCAGAAGCCCGCCGGGCTCAAGGGTCCCGCAACAGGAGGCGATCCGCTGGCCTGTGGTGGAGAAGCCGTCCCTACAGCACACAGAGGGAGGAACAGCCTGGGGAGAAAGCTCCCTCTGCTATTTCATGGGTGGGAGGTTCAAGCGCACAGCGTGCTCAGGAACATTTTGTGAGGCTGGGGTGGCTAAATGGAGTTTCGAAACGCGCATTTTTCTTTGCAAAACGGGGTGGAAAATCCTGTTTAGGGAAGCAGAGCCCAACGCGGTTGAATAGAAAATAGTCCAGCTATAAAAAGCATCACTGCCTTTCTCTGGAACATATAAAGGGCTCGGTTCAGCAGCACGCGCGATGCTTCGCTGACCTGGGGTCCCCAAATTATTTGCGTTGTCGCAGGACAGGGGCATGGCTCGAAACCACTTGACAGGCCCTTTTGTGGAGCTGCCTGATTTACCTTCGGCAGGGCAAAAGAGGGAGCTCATGCTACAACAAGAGGACAAAGGATTCAGCAGATAAGGCTCTACTGAGGAGTGAGGAGGATCCCAATATCGCCAGCACCTGAAGCTTCCCTGGTGCGGTCAGGGCTGCCTGAGGATCTCCGCAGCTGAGGGGCCTCCCACTGAAACAAATTTGTTTCAACAGTTGAAGGCTGTTTGCTAAATTGCTGATTATATGATAAGTTCTTGATTTGGGGTAAATCTTTGAAGTTTATCAACTTATTGAAAATGCTCACTAATAGATTTATTTCCTCCTTGCTTTCTCCCATCCATCCCCCCATTCTTCTCCCAGTACATGAAAAACGCCAACATCAGCCCAGTGGACAGAGAAGTATGGGCTTTAGGCAAGAGGAGAAATCAGGAAAATTTTTGGAATGTATTTCAATAAATACTGACTAAAACAATGATGGAAGTAGGTTTCTTTGCATCTCGAAGTAGAGAATGCTCTCAATACACTCCAGTAAGCGATTTCCCATTTTGTGCATGTATCTTATATTTCCCTCATTTTAGTTGGAGCTTTGCTTTGCAGACGGGTGCCAGGTGTGCGTTGAGCAGCTCTTTTGCCCTGCTGTTTGAAGGCCCCATGCCACGCTCCCTCCCAAGCATCCCTCAGCCCCTGGTGGGGCTCCTTGAGTACTGGGGGGCGCCGCAGGCAGAGCACTCATCCCCTATCCAAACCCTCGTCCTATCTCAGCCTGAGCTTTTGCTCCGTCCTGCAGCGTGTGGCATCTTCAGGCTTGTTTCAGACACGCGCAGAGCTTTAAGTAGCCCTCTCTTCGTTTACCTGGGGCTTGTTTGGAGCTGAATCTGTAGGCAGATGAAAGCAGTGTGGATGCCTCTCACCCTCCTCTGAAGCTGGTTGGGGGATGAGCAGAGTAAAAATGACCCCGTACAGATTTTTAAAAAAGGGAAAAATTCTTGAATCAACACTAAAACTTTCACATCCTTGTAATATTCTGGGTAAATGCTGCTTCTGAAAGGGAAGGCAGGGCTGTGTGGCCAGTGCAGTCCTTCTGCTGCTGGCACGGCCTCTCTCTGGAGAGATTTGGCACAGCCAGAGCTCCCCAGCTCGTGCTCCTGCATCTGAGCTAATGTTACCACCAGCTACTTGTTTCGCGGTGGTTCTCCATCTGAGGAGATCACTGTCCAGAGAGGGATAAAGGGTTCCTTTCTTCTGGGTAACATCTGAAATCGCAGCCTGGGCTTTGGTAACTGGATACTGGTGGCTTCAGTTCTTCCGATAAGGAGAATGCTTCTTTCCCTTGTTGTTGCTAATCCTGGGAGCAGAGATCAGTTGCAGTGCAGGTGTCTGATTTTCATTAAAATTGCAAATTGGGCTGGATGCTTGATCAGATAACAAAGACATCATTGAAACCATGTGTCTTCCTTCAGCAGCAGAACCGGGGACAAGACAAAGAATTTCCCAGTGTGTGTCCACTTGTGCATATTTACTGCAGAGAGCCAGTCTTAATACTGTGGTCATGGGTGAATAAATGGCTTCTAAGAAATGCCAACCCAATCAAACTTGCTGCAGCTTTGCAACAGCTTTTGAGTTGAATAGAAGAACTACAGTGTTAGCCCTTTGGGGAAAGTACAGGATGTTCTCAAAGGAAATCGATTAACTGTAGCATCTCTTTGGTCCCAATTTGGGGGATCTTCCCTTTTTAGCCAAACACTTAAGTGTTTTCTCAGCTCTACGCATGAGCTTAAGTGCTTTGATGGAAAGGACGGACTTTCACACATGCTGCTGTCTGCTCCAGAATCGAGACAATGTGCTTTTCACTATGGGAAAGAGAACGAGTTGGACAGAGAGGTCCAACCCCTCATTCTGTTTGGAAATTATATGCAAAAAGATCGCCTGGAGCAGGGAAGAGCGGGGGCTGATGGCACATGGTGTTTGGAAAGGAAGTTCCTCATCCAAGGTCCTCTTGACAGCCAAACAAAGCGGTTCTGAAGGAAACTCACAGATGTTGTCTTTCCCAAGACAGCGTCTTCTGGCAGATGCCAGGGTTTGCACAGCTTCATGTCTTCTTTCAGCCGTGGTCCTCTGCTCCTCTTCTTCATGGCAAGGCACCTGTGAGCTTCCCTTAGTGGATGAAGGGAAGCAAAATCCCATCCAACCCAAAATATTAGGTGTGAAGTATGTAGGATAGGCTCACCTTAATCCTTTAAAAGCTCCAGAAACCATGACCAGTGGGAAAGGTGCTGAGGTCAGATGGGTACCTGGTGTTAGAGGAAGATGGAATGATCTTATCTTGGCCATAGGAAGGGTTGGATGCAACCAGGGCATAATGCATCTAAATTCACCGATTTAGGGGTGAAAGAAACTGTTCCTGCGAGGCTGCTGGGTTTTCTCTAGAGGAAGGACACGGTATGGATGCTGCTTGCCATGTGAGCACATTTGGGCAGGGGCAGGTAGCTGTGATGCAGGAGCCAGCCCCACACCAGCATCCTGCCCGCTGGTAAAGCAGGGCCAAGTTCGGCTCTGCTCCACCACCCTGAGAAACAGCTGAACTTCTTACCCCAAAACGCTGCGAAAAGCCTATGAAAGACTGTGAAACATTTTGTTTTCTGAGCAATGGCCATGATTTGAATATTACAGAAATATGCAAGGAATTTCTCTGGGACTACGACAGGCGGTGCAGACGTCCAGGCTGATTGCTCTGACAGCTTCCCATGCAACGAGTGCCCGCTCTTACTGTTCGTTGTCATCCCTTGGTAAACGGGAGGTAATCTGAAGATATTTTCATTCCTCTCCGAGCATCACTTGGGATATCTGCAGAATCACTCAGCGTCACAATTCCAAGAAATCTGCCAGGGTTGTGCTGTGAAGTTTGCTTTGGATAAGAAAGGACTCGAAAGGTCATAGATTATCCCGGGACATATCAAAACATGCATTAAAAATTTCCATGTTCTTGAACTCGTGGTGAAAGTCAGCCACATTCGCTCATTTTTGTGCAAGTTTTAAACTCGAGGGACCTTCTCTCTGCTTGCCAGCGTGTCAGCGTGTCGAGAGGGGAGGTGGAAACCGCGTGCTGCTCCCTGTGTGTGTCCTGCAGAGGGGAAATGCGTGCAGGGGATGGGCAGGGGATGCTTCAGGCTGCGGCATGTGGGAAACCTCAGGCCCCAAATAGGACCACATAGAGTTACAGTGTTAATTAGCACGGAGGAGCAGGGTGTGCGGCTGTTCAGGCGTCATGTGTAACCTTCTCTTATGGCAGTGGAAATCTGGCAGGAAGCTGCTGGGGAGCGGTAAGTCGGCTGGGCCAGGAGCCCCGTTCCAAACGAGCAGGTGGTGTTCAAGGGCAGCAGCGGGCTGGGAGCTGAGTTTTGGGAAGCGATTGCTGTCATCAGGGTGGGGAGAATGCTCTGTGCTCTGGCTCCGCTCTGTGTATCGCCTGGAGGGATGAATGCTGCAGTGGAGCCGACATCACCATCCTCACCCTTTGCTTTAACTTACTGGGATTTCTGGCCTCTTCAATGTGCAGCAGCAGGATTTTGCTGGTTTCTTCACTGCCATTCCTCTTACTACCTCTTACAATAACCTTTTTTTTCATGAGTAAGGTGAAGGTGGTGCACGGTGGCACGCCGTGACGTGGAGATGCTCCTGCTGCACCTACAGAGACAGTGTCAGAGGATGCTGGTGTGGAAATAAACGTTGCAGCACATACCGTGTGCCGACCACTCATTTAATTGCCTTTGTAAACCTTTCCCACCCCCCTGGTTCAGACATGTTGTCAGAGGATCTCTTCTAACCGCAGAAGAATGGCGGAGAGGCAGATGAAATCATCGCTGGGCAGGAGGTTGCAAGCAACAGCCACCAGATCAGTCGAAGCCCCCTGGCCAAAACTATCTAATAAAGAGAAGTGGGCCGGAACGCCAACACCAGTGACCCTGAGATTGTTGTGTGTTTTTTTCCTTTTTTTTTTTTTTTTTTAATCAGTTTAAATTATCTTATCCGGCAACTCTGCTCTAAACAAAAGCAGGGATTTCATGGCCATCCTCAATGCTTTTGCCTGTGCCACAGTGGCAAGCCGTGTTTCAGAGGGTCAGTAATAGAAAGCAGATGTCTAAATGTGTACAGCTAAAGCAAAAAAAGCAAATACTGCAAGCACATCTGACATGAAAAGGGGGTATCTTTGAATTATAGTAATAAAAAACGCACGTTCATGAAACACAGGACCAGATAAACTGCTGTTCTTTAATTGTTGCGCACAGCTGCTTCCACGGCTATAAAATCACAGTCCTTGTAATAGGTCTGAATCAGAACCTTATTTTAGCATTTCCCTGCTCCTGGTTCATGCAGGGATAAACTACTGCACCAGCAGTGCTGCAGGAGAGTGCTCTGCTGCCAGAAAGACAATACAGGATTAATTATTTGCCCAGCACACTGCTGCCAGGCTATGAAAAATGCTTCTATGTATTCTTTTGATTAAGAAGAGTTACTTCCACTGAGTAACAGAGACCTACTTTGAAATCCAAGAGATTCCAATATTTCAAAATTAGTTTTCGTTCCAAATTGGGTTTCTAAAATGTGTCTATTCAGAAAGCTTTTGGTAGTGTCAAAACATCATGCAAGTCAAAATATGTATCTGCTGTGAGATTTAAACAATATGTGAATATTTAGAAATTATTATCATGAAAAAGAACCCAAGTGAATAATGTTGCTTTTCTTTTAAGCATCCATACACCCTCCTGAATTGCACTATTTTGGGCATGCCTAATTTTGTACAGAAAACCGTTTTTTTTTTCCTCTCTCTCTTTTAAAAATATAATACCAACAGTAGCAATATCTTCACAAGTTTCAGTTTTCTTCTCATCAAGGAATGTGATGTGAAAAATGAAAGTAAGTGACCTCCTAAAGTTGTTTGTATGGCATGCACATAAACATACAGCTAGAGCGAGACAGTTAACAGAAATATTGGAATTCTTCTATTTGAAATGATAAAGATCATCTTGTTCTTTTTCAGCCTGTTTCCCTGCTATTCTTGGATGAGGAATAAACAGTCTCCGAGTAAATGTTGCATTGAAATCCATTGAGAAAAAATTAAACTTTTTATATTATTTACTGGGAAAAATGATGATTCTATGAGCTGACGTTAAGGGACAGATTTTCAACATTATTCACCCATTGAAAATAGCTCCTATTGTTCCTAAGTTCAAAAGCCTCTCTGGTTATTGCAACTTTGTCCTAAATATGTAGCTGAACAGTTGGGCTCGGGTTCTCAAAACGCGGTTGCAAAACCATGCGACTTGCCCATGCGGTTACTGCCTTGCACATGCAGGGATGGTGCTTGCCACCGGGTTATGAGGGAGCTGCTGTGGGCCCGCAGCCTTTATGCTGTATGTTAGAAGAGACACAAACACGGACAGCAAACCGGTGTGGGTCTGGAGGGCTGGGAAAACCCCACAGCTTCAGCCCCTGACCCGCGGTGAAGGATGCGCAGAGCACCCGCGCGATCGCTGGACCCCTGTGAAACTACGCACACGATTCCTCCCTGAAACCGAAACAAGACAAACAGGATTTGGTATGAAGTTAAACATAACACTGGCCATATTATTTGGGAACAAAACAGTTGCATAACCCCGTGAAAAGCAGCACAGCTGCTTGCGGTGAGCAGGCGTGCCAAGAGCTGCCTTCCCTTCCTGCTCCCGCCCAGTGGCACTCGCTGCCGACCTGGGGGTCCCGGGCAAATTAATCAGCCCTCTCCTTTCTGGCCACAGAATTAACCTCCAAGTCAGCGCTTTAAAGGACACAGAATGGGTCCCCTCTGCTGCACAACCCCTGTTTGTTGATCCGAGCCGGCACAGCCCAGGTCCGCGCTGCCTCTCGCCGCCCTCCTCGCTCTCAGCCCGCGATAAATGCTCACAGCGTGAAAATCCGATTTGCTGTGAGATTAGGGGAGCATAATCTCATTAGTGATGACAAGCTGCACCAGCCCATTCTGCCGCACACTTCATATCCACACCGTCCCGGGGATGCGCAACGAGCCAGGACTTTCTTTAACGATTTATTGCAAAGATAATGAACCTGCCAGCACTGCATGGAGATGCACTCTGGCCACAGCCCTGAGAGCTGGGCATCAGCACTTACCCCTGGGGAGCAATGGGAGAAGGTCCTACCAGATCCAATCCCATAATTTGGGAGGTCGTTATTGAGCTCCCCGCATGGTGAGGGGATAAGGAGGGTCGCCCACCCCTTTTGTGCAACCTGTAATGCCACGCTGCTCTCCCTGGTTGGTGTGAAGGCACGGCTCACATCAAAAATAATGTGATTTCTGGCTGTCCTCAAGCACGCTGACTGTGTTAGAGCCACTGAGCAGGTAAATTCAGCACATCATGAGAGGCTCGGTAGGCTGGACCATCAGTGCTGAGGCTGCCAGGTCTGCCAGTGTGTAGCATCACGGTTGGTTTAGGACTCGATTTGGCCTGATCCCAAGGTCCCCATCTGTGGTGGAGGTCTCTGAAGCACCAGTCACTTGTTAACCCCCGTCCTGGGGCACACTTATGGTCAGCTTTCCTCTGAATAGACCCATCTCCATTCACCAAAGCTGCCCTGCAATGTGACAGACCGTGTGGGAAAGGTGACTGAGGACTGTCCCCATCCTCACCTGACACAACCAACCCTCTCCAGCTCACTTACCTCAAAGGGCTCTTCCTACCATTAGTGCTGGTATGCCTGCAGCTCTGTGCAGAACAGTTTCCAAAATACCCCATAGCATTTTCCTATTTTCCTTTCCTGTTAGAAGGCAAAGAGCTCTGATTTGCATATGCAACATGAAGATTAACGTGCTAATGATTACGCATTAATGGTGCAGGTGCTGATTCTTACAGGAAATGCTTGGGAAGGAAAGAACCCAAATCATGCAACAGGTATTACAGGCAAACCATTTTGCTGGTGACAACAGAAGGGAAGCTAATTCTGTAGGTTTTCTTGGAGTTCAGTGTTATTCACTTTCCTTCCTTGGGCATGAGATGGAAATCCTTTTCTAATTAAAAGCTGTTCCCTGGCCCTGAGTGCAGCAGGTTCTGAGCTGAGCCATGCTGTGTGCTTGTGCTGGTTCTGGGCTCTGCATTGTGCTGTGTGCTGGTGCTGCATTGTGCACTGTGCAATGCAGCATGCAGCCTCCTATTTCCACGAGCTGACATTTCAGGACAGGTTGTGGATCATCCTACAAAGATAAGAAAGAAAAGGAAACAGCCAGTTTCCAGTGGGAACGCACCCTGAGCTGCCAAGGGTGCCTGCATGCAGCTGCGGCGCCGCGTCCGCGCCCCAGCGCTCTGCGTTATTTCTTCTCGGCAAAGCGGCTCAAATACTTCCCTGAAATGCAAAATATTTTGGAAGCTAAAGATAGTTCAGGCTGAAAGGCAGACATCTAACTGGCGCTGAGCAAATAAATACAAGTTATGAAGAATTCCTAGTGAAAATAAAACCCTGGAGGAATGGAGCTGGTTACGGAAAGCAGGCTGGGAGGCTGGGATGGCTGCAGGCTGCAGTGATAAACATCGATCCCATCCACATGAACCCTTTTGGGGCTGGGGAGTGCCCACAGTTCCTGCTAATGCTGTCAAAACATGCTGCAGGGGAAGGAAATCACAGCACCGTCACACACTGCAGTGTACCTGGTGCTGGTAACTTGTGAGCGATGCTGGTCACATCCTGAGCAGCGGGCAGGGTCTCCAGGCTGGGGCTGTGCCCTGAGCTGAGCCAGTGGGTGTTTTGTCTCCCAGTTTCCTCCCAGCCAAACATTTCTGAGTGCAGAAGGAGCTCCTCTTGTAAACACACAAGGTTTTGTGTGCGTGCCATTACCTTCTTTACCTGCGTCTTGTGAAAACTGTGCTGGATTGCGGCCACTGTCACCTGTTGATGGTGGTAGGAAATGGATGCTGGGCAGAAGCTACTGCTAGAAATATTTTTATTGGGTTTTACGTATTTATGAAAACTGTTGTTACATGGATGGATTTGGATTTTCAAGGCATACAAAACAGAAGTTGCAGAAGAGGCTCTGAAGTGTTAGCTAAACTGCCCTAGGAGCCTTCACTTTCCAGGAAAACACCAATTCTTGCTGGTATTTGACACGAAAAGTGTAGTTGGATGTATAAATACAATGTCAAATAAATACACCCACAGAGGATCGAGAAAAGATGCTGGAAGCCCAGGAATGCTTTTTTTCAGTGTGAATCCTTTTGTTTGAGTTTTCAGTGGCAAAGCAGTCGGGTCTCCGGGTTTAAGGCTCTCACGAGACCCCTTCTTGTTTCCCCATTGTGATGAATTCCCTTGGCTTGAGGGGTCAAGAGCACCAGGCTTGCAGGGATATACCCATGTCAAGGCCATCCGAGGCACACACAGCCTTGGTCCTTGGGAACGGGGAAGGGCTGCGTTTTACAGAGAACTGACAAAATGATGGAAAAGATTGGCACAGCCAGATGAGGAAAATTCTCTCCTATTTAACAGCTCTGATAGCTGCCATTGGTTTTATTTCCTGGGGCTGAACTAGGGCTATTTCACACAGAGTGGGAGTAAATCCCATTTTGAAATACCACAATGAATATTAGCTATTAGAAATGCCTTGATAGAAACACTAGATACAGCCACAGCAATCAAGAGGAATACGCCAGGGATGATTTCACTGCCCCAGAAGCTCGTGAGCCTGTTAGGGGAAGGCACTATTATTAGCTCCTGCAGATCCTCGCAGCTTGCCTTGCTCAACAAACCCCTGCTCACGGCGGCTGTTTTGCAGAGTGGCTCGGTGCAGATCACAAGGTCCATGTGGTTTCCAACCCGTGACACCATCCTGCAACACCCAGGCCAGTGTCCCAGGGGACACCGTGACAGGAGCTGTGCCACGGGCTCCACAAACAGCTTTGTGCCCCTACATCAGCTCCTTTGG